CTCAGCCCCCCACCCCCCCTGCCATGCCCGTGGAAGCAAATGCCGCAGGTTGAACCCCAGGTGAAGCTTCTTTTTCTTCTGTCTCCTGCACTAAATCCAGGCTTGTACTTGGGGAAGGCGCTTTCCCTGCCTTCTTTGATTAGTGTCCTGGGCAGTTTTTGATAAGCAGAAAGAAATAAAACGATGTTATGTAGACCCCAAAGTTCTTAAAAGGCACCATAGGCAAAAGAAAGAGGACAGCCGCTTAAGCTCCCAATGCTGGATGAACAAAACTGCCTTTGCTGAAGGTGCCCGGGGACCCTCCTAGCCTCCCACCGCCCTCCCAATGCCCCCACCCTGTCCCATTCCTTCCCTCCCGGCACCCCAGGGATTCCCTTCAGCCTGCAAGGGTGGTTGGGTGGGGGCTGAGCCGAAGGTAAAGGAGCTGAGCTGTTCAGGGCTTCCTGGGAAGAACATTCAGCTGAAAGGAGGGAAGGCCGAGGGAGGCACGGGACTGGTCTTCCAGGACAGGAAGGGACTTAATTCTCCAAAGCAACCGAGGCTAAGACAGGAACCGGCCGGGGGTGGGGAGAATCCAAAGAGGAGGGAGAGCCAAGAAAGCCCCCGAAGTTGTGGATGCCGCTTCATGGGAGATTCTCAAGGGGCGGCTGGAGAGCCATTCCTCCTTTGGGATGGCCTGAACTGGGCAAGGGAGGCCCCTTCCAATCCTAGGAGTCTATTACACTCAAAAGCACTGTTGGGAAACTTAGCTTTCAAACTTTCAAAATGTTAATTCTTGGTGTTTTAACGCATTAACATTCTAACGTACTTTGGCATGTGGTCAGCTGCCCAGAGGACAGTGAGGTTTAATAAACAAACCACTCCAGCCCTTTGTAAACTCTGCTTAGAAACCTACAATCTTGGCATTCCGTATAAATAGGAATTAATTCATGGCAGGAACCATTTTGGGGGCATCATTTTAATTTCTTTTTAAGCGAAGGGATTTTCAATGGAAGATCTAAAAAACACAGAGAGCTGCCTAGAAGAGCCCACCTTGCACAGCCTCTGGTATCATGCAATGATTAAACAGGAAATCCTTCAGGAGATCTGTATGGCCAAGAGGACAAAAGGAAAGCTCCTCTGAAGCTACTTCTCTGAATAGAACTGCTTTAGGAGCTAGCAGAGCTAATGCAACTTTGGTTCTATTTAGCCCTGCAGGCCTCCATCAGCCCTCGTGCAACTCTGCAGCGGTCAGGGAGACGAGACAGGAGGAGGAAAACATCCCACCAAGTCATGAATGGCACCCAGGGCAGAGGAGACGCTGGGCTTTTACCTTCCACCCTGGGAAAGACGGGAGGTGCAGAGGAGTCCTCTCCCTTAGATGCGGCCAGGATGAAATAATGGGAGCACTTCAGGTGCCATTCCTGGAAGAACAGAGAGGTCGCCGTAGGCTCTCAATCACAACAAACCCCTCTACCCATTGGACCATTCCCAGGGCTTGAGGAAATAGACTGGCAGCCAACAAAGGTTAGAAACGCCTTATGCGCTTCTATGATAAGCTCAATGTCATATTGTTGCACGCTCAAATGCAATCGCTTTAGTTCTACAAGTAGGAATTATTTTATGTCCTATTTTAAGATTTCACCAGTGTCCTGTATATCATATTTTGGTTGCACCAGATGAGAAGACTCTTCTGCCGCCATCCCACCCTATTTCCGCGCTGGCCACACAGAAAGAATCTCTTGGTCTTGTGGCTGCCTGCAAGCCATCTCGCCTCCCTCTCCACATCCTGCACACACCAGGGCAGACCAACCTCAAATTCGTCAAAGGGCTCCAGAGCTTGAATCCTCTTCTGCTCTTCTCCAGGCACAAAGCTCCTGTAGAACTCGTTCATGTCCATGATGTGGCATTCCGTCCAGCCCTAAGGAGAAGGCCGTGGCATTAAGACCGAGGCACAGCCATCCCGTTGGCCCCCTCCGGCCTCCCTTTCACCAGTCCAAGGCTCACACCCACCCTCTGCAGAAAGCGCATCTGTTGAGCCTTGCAGTCTGGGTAGGAGGTCAGAGAGCGGAGCGGAGACTGTAGGCGGCTGAAGTGGTTTTGCATGATACGGCCAAAAGGGTCGCTGGGGTGAATCTGCTCGTACAAAATGAACCAGGCCTTCAGAAAGTGCCCAGCTGCCCACTGAATCAGAGCATCTGACCTGGAACGAACAAGAAAGAAGGGGAAGTACACCAAAGAAGAAGAGCCAAGACCATCGAACTGGAGGTCGGGGAGCCATCTGCCCCCCCCCCCCCAGTCTAAGCCGTCAGAAGCTTCCGGTCCATTCACATTTGCCCAGTTCAAAGCTGGAGATGGATCTGAGACCTCGACAAGAGATCCCACCTGGCAAAGCTTGGAAATAGTTCCTTTTGAATGTCCCCCAAGATGATGCAGCAGGATTAAAGGGGGAGCAGAAGGACCCATGGATCCAAAACAGCTGCCACAACAGAAAACTGTTTTTTAAGGAGAGTTGTGCTCTGTCTCATTTTGACCTTGCCAGGCAGCAACCAGAGGGCTTCCAGTCTGCTCCTATTCAATTTCGAGGTGGCTAGCTGCCACTTTCAGCGGTAATTGATGCAGGGAGCAAAGTAATGGCTCCAAGCTCAAAATATTATGGTAGGGCTCTCAGGTATGAACATTCGGCTGGGTTCTCCTTTGTAGCTCAAAGGGACAAGGACTCGGTCAGCCGCCTGGCAGTTCTATCCACCAACTCAGCGAAATGCAAGAACCAAAAGAAGGTACAGCAAAAACGCTGCTTCCAAAGGAGGCTCAATCCGGGACGCGGAGGAAGAGGAACCAAGAGGGACGACTCCGGCGCCCTGACCTCGGAAAGCCTCGGTCTGCTGCGGTTTAACGTAAACGCCGCCCTCCCAGGCGCCCCGGCGGGGCCGAGCGAAGCACGAACCTCTCGACCTCCATGTAGGGCAGGACCATCTCCGCCAGGATCAGGGTGGGCGCCGCGGGGTCCAGGCCAGCGCCACGCAGGGCCCCCTCCAGCTGGGCCAGTCGGGAGAGATCCACGCCCAGCAGCCGGTAATCGTCCCCGGAGTACTTCAGGCTCCCTGCGGGGGGGNAAGGCTGAGTCAACCTTGAGCCGGTGAGATTAGAACTGCTGAACTGCAGATAACAGTCAGCTGCAGTGGCCTGCAGTACTGCACCCTAACCACTGCGCCACCTTGGCTCTTATTATGCTGTGAAAACAGTTCAGTTATTGGGACACACAAGAAAAATGAGATGGACAAACAGGAAAGAAAGATTTTGTGCACATGTTAGCAGTGTCAGCTGTTAACTGATTTTCCACCCATAAATGAATTTATGATGGTATTGGTTTTTTTTTTAATTAAGTAACGCTGTCAAAGGTTTCTTCAGAGTGTGAAAAGTGCTTTTTACATAAATGTGTTCATTTGGGTCTATCGTGGGACTGTAAATCAGATGAACTTTTATTCAGTACCTGCCGAGAAGTGCCAGCTAAAGATAGATGTTCACTCCCTTTTGTATAATACCTCAGTGTATATCAAGCTTACCCCACTTGATGTTTCAGTACTTCCAGTACTTGAGGCTCTGTCACAAAGAACAGGGGATTTGACTTATTGTCTAGGGCACCAGAGGGCAGGACAAAAAGTAATATGTGGAAGCTTATTAAAAAGCGATTCAATCTAGAAGTGATGAGGCATTTTCTGACAGTGAGAACAATTAATCAGTGGAATAGATAGACTTCTAGGGTTATAGGTGTTCCATCACTGGAGGTTTTTTAAAAAAAGACTGGACAACCATTTGACTGGGATGATAAAAGGCTCCTCCTTGAGCAAGGTGTGTGATGACTAGGCCTTCAAGTTCCCTTACAGCCCTATGGTTCTATGCTCTATGTTTGGTCCCAGAACTTCTGCCATGACTCAGGAAACTGCTGTATATTTTTAGTGAGCAAATGATACCATGCAATTTTTTTTCAAAACTGTATTCTGAAAATGTATCTCAAGCACTGGACTTCCAATATTTATATTTCTATTTTCTGAATGCTTTGATTAGGTTAGTATTTTTCAACCTTGGCAACATTAATATCTGCATACTTCAATTCTCACCATTTTCCCAGCCTTAAAGCTGTCAAGGTTAAGAAACACTGAATTTGATCATGGCTTTTAAAAAAATCAGTTTTACTTTCATTAATTTATAATAACCTAAGTGCCACTGCATCAGATTAATGGTAGATGAGATATAGCCTGTTTTTCCTTCACTCCTTGTATCCTTTATCTTGGATCAGGCACCATAAATACTACCCAGCAAGACTGTGATGCCTTCCAGTTGCATTGGTTTGGTTCCCATAACTATTCTCCCAAATATCAGGATTATCCATCTTTGAATATCAAATGGCCTAATTTCCTACCATTTCAAGGCAGAAATGTACAAAAGATCTAGGATTCCTAAGTGTAAACTTTCTAGTGATTTCCCAGCCAGAAAGTAAAAAAATTACTTTTCAAGGCACTTGGCTGTTAGATCACTATATCTGGGCAGTAACTTCACATACTATTTTTAAAATAAATGGCCCTTCCCTTTGAATGATTTATGTTTTATATCTCGTTGGTTGACAGTTTGCACTAGTGCACGAGAGAAAATGAAAATATTACTTTTCTACTGCCAGCACCATATGAGAAAGCCGTAGTAAAACATCTTGGTCTTCATTTTCTGATTCTTGGTGTCTTCTTTCATTTTAATTTGAAGTAAGAAATGTTTCTAACTCTCTGGGGAAGATGTAGATCAGTTTTGTATTTTTGTCCTTCTTAAGTGTTAGAGAGATTGTCAGGATTGTACTCTGTACTTTTCACTTTGTCAGATGTTCGCTGTTGCTTGTTATGCAGGTATTGGTGTTCAAATTACTAATTTGATTTATGTTAATGTTAAAGGCATGCAGCCACATTGACAGTGTATTTGGGTGAACTTATGGCTGCATGTACTGTATATATCTATAACACGTATCAGGCAAACAGGCAGGCAGCTATAGGTGGTAATGATGTGTTACCTAATATGCCTTTTGAAGATTCAAAGAAGAGAAACTCAAGGATGCTAGTCTAGCTCAGTGGTGTCAAACTCAAGGCCCATAGGCTGGATCTGGCCCATGGGGTGCTTAGATCTGGTCTGCGGGATTGCCCTGGAAACAGCAAAGAACCAGCCCACGGAGCTTCATTTTCACTGGCAGAGAGTTGCAGGAGGCTGTCTCAGCCAAAAACAAAGCTCAGAAGCCCATTTTCACTGGCAGAGTGCTCAGGCCACCACAGGCAGCAATGTTCCCTCTAATTTTTTTTCAGTGTGAGCAGAAAAGTATAGTGTTTGAGCGGCATATTTTCATGCCTGAGC